GGAAGCAAATGCTATGTTTAAAATGTTCTATCTTTCAATTTAAACATGTTATTACATGTCACGTAGGCCAGTGTTTTATATGGGGATTATATGTACTTTACTTGTTAACATAAACGTAAATCATTACATGAAAAAATCTGCATTCTTCTGGGTTTAATCTGGGTTTGTATTGTCTTATTGGGGCTTTTCGACTTTAAAACAAACCCTTACCCAAATGGATTTGTGTCTCGGGATCGTTTTTGTAAATAGTTATTATAAACAATTCTGAAAGAATATCACATATTTTTGTCTTCCCGATTTTAGTCATGAATTACGGATCAATTTCGCGTGCAAACATTGGGTAGACGTTGTCATAACCAGATGCCCAAACGTGTCAGGAACACAAAGATACTCGAATGATGTTGATTGAACACCAGGGTGCAGAGAAATTGTAATTTTACTGAGTGGCTTCACGAAAAAATAAGTAGCACTTTAGGCCACCTTAAATACAACTCGCCAGTTGTATCCAGTTGGAATCCCAGCGTAATTTTTTACATTTTTTTAATTATATGGTTGTTCTTTGATTTTACGCTTAAAACATTTATAACAACGTCAACTTTATATTAAAACATTTATTATCTTTTCAGTTGTATTAAAATGTAAAAAATAATATATGTCAGCTTATTGCTTTCTGGAGAACGGTCAAGGTTTAAATTTGGTACAATGAATCGGACACTCATGTAAATCGACATGGTTATAACATTGAACTTGTTTTATGCCTTGCTCACATTTGCTCCGATTTTCACTTCGCTGCCCGGCCGATTGAGTATTGTGTTCAGAAATGTATTCAATTTTGAACAAAATACTCGCAGCAAATGTGACCCAGGCATTACACAGCGGTATTTCGAACATACTATTGTTGCATAACCACGACCTAGCCAATTTTAAAGATTAAAATCATACTCCTTATTTAAATCCAACGATAGGAGCTCATAGTAAGTATACATTTTAACTTTTATACATCTTTACAAATACTAGAAATCTAAATGTGCGAGTGTATCACCAAGGGTCCCCACATGGCAGCAGTCTCCGTAAAATGCAAAATACCTGTATTGATAACTTGACTTTGACTGATTTTGGAATTGAGATGAACTTGCTGAAATCTCGTGAAACGCCAGATACCTAGATATGACCTTCAAATGACGTTGGTCAATACACATTGACTTTGACCTTACATGTAGGTCACCTAATCATGTGTCGTCAAGGCTCATTGTAGCCCCCAAGGTCCTTACAACGCCAAATACTTAGATATTAATATTTGATCTTGAAACAAACTTGACCCATTAATATTGGCCTTGAACTCAACTTATCATTGGTTGCCAAGGGTCTTAGCAGCCCAATGAACTTTAAATCACCAAATATCTAGATATTGATATTCTACATAGGAATGACCTTGACTTCAGGTCACCTAATCATGCCTCATCAAGGGTCAAATCTCAGACCAAGGGTAAAAAACGCGTAAACCTAGATAATGGAGAGGTTAAGCTACCGTATAAAATCCAAAACGCAACTTAAACGTATCAATCGGCCCTATACAAGTACATGTAGAGTTCACACATAAATAGCCGTTCAGCTCTAGTGTTTGTTTAGACTACACCATAGCTTGTAATGATTACATAGTATCCCATTGATGAAGTTCAATAGCTGATTTTCTAATACATATTTTAAACGAGTTCGTTTCGTAAGATTATTGGAGTTAAATCATGCGTAACATACATCATCTTCTTCAGAAAGAATTATACTCTGCATCGAAATCAAAATTGCAAGGATAGTATTCAACAGACATGAGCATAATGATTCCCGTTGATAGCAACGTGAAATTTCTAAATCTCCCGTTCTAAACACGCAACTTTGAAGTTGAACGGGTATCTGAAGTAGACTAAAGCGATACAATCCTATGTTGATTCAATGTACTTTGCGATTACGTTTACGTTTTGAAAAACCGTATTTGCTTAACCTTTCCATTGACATTTTAAAGAGAGAATCAGATCTAGTAATTAGCTTTCTTGGATGACATCCTTCTATAGCTCATATGTAAACTCATTTCTACAATAAAAATTGAAATCAATCATTACTTTACTGATCTTCCCATACATGTCTCTGTTCGGCCTTCTACTTTAAACTCGTCCCCGCTTTCGTATATGACCTATATTTAAATTTACCCTAAAAGACAATATGATTTTATATGAGTATTATAAGATGTGTATTGTAGATATAACCGCTTACCTTATATTCAAAATCTCCTTTATTTCCAAGATTTTCACTTGCATGTATGTAACCACAACTTAATCAATAGATTTATACAACTTCTTTGTGTATACTTCGCTTTTCCTTAACATTGGTACTATAATTCTGCTGATCTCGGGTACTACAATTCCCCTTATCGCGGGTGCTACAATTCCCCTTATCTCGGGTACTACAATTCCCCTCATCTCGGGTACTACAATTCCCCTTATCGTGGGTACTACAATTCCCCTTATCTCGGGTACTACAATTCCCCTTATCTCGGGTACCACAATTCCCCTTATCTCGGGTACTACAGTTCCCCTTATAACTGGTACTACAATAACCTTTATCATGGGTACTACAATTCCCCTAATCACTGGTACTACAATTCCCTTTATCATGGGTACTACAAATCCCCTTATCTTTAGTACTACACTTCCTTTCTACAATTCCCTCTGTCATGGGCACTATAAATCCCCCTAATTTTTGGTACTACGATTCCCTTTTAATATGGGCGATAAAAACTAAATTTATCATGGGTGTTTCAATTCTCTTCATCTGATAACTACAAATTCTCTCTTGAGTACTACAAATCCCAATATCATGGATACTTAAATTCCCTTTATCATGGGTAATACAATTGGCTTTATCATGAACACTACAATTGTTCTTATCTTACGATTCCCTTTATCGTGACACTGAAATTTATTTTTGCACTATCACTAGCATTCTCCCTGTTCATGCTTACTACTCTTTACCCTTTTCTACAAACCTTCTACAAATTGTCAAATATACTATTTGTAATATTTCAGTCATTCACTTACAACATATTTTCAGTGCAATTAATGTACCTCTGAAACGGCTTTCTTGGAATATTGATTCCCTTTGTGATCTTGGCTTAATTATTGAACCATTGTATTCAAGAACCCGTTTGACGAAAAGACGAAATGTTGTACCATTGTGTATATTTGGCCAAAAACTTGCAGATTGCCATTTAGGAACTATCAACTTCTTGTGCATTGCAGGTGTTTTACTACACTTCTTACCAGCTTTACTGGTGGAACTACCCAGTTGATGTCTGAACCCCAGTTCTGTGTAAATGTGTCTACTGCTTCACAGCCTGGGTTCCAGAACATAGAATTATATCTACCTATTTTCTTGTTGTTGTAATCTGCAAAACGATCAACTGTGTGTGGACCCCAAATCTTATCCAATTTATCAAAAACTACCTCTTTGATTCCCCAGTCATCATAATCTACCAACTTGCTCAGGAAATCTGCCTTTTCGTTCAGTGCCCTCGGAATCCACAGACTGTATTTCAATGTCTACTTTATGATTTGCACAGAAATTGAACAGTTCAACAACTAGACCTTGCAAATGGGGTTTTGGACTACCATTGTTCCCAATGATTTCTACATTTTTGTTATCAGTAAATCATTTTAGAACCTCTCCTCTGAACAAGTGCAGCAACGATTCTAATACCATCAGAACACCTTTAAGTTCTCTCCACGTTGAACTCATTTTCATTTCAGATTCTGTAAACGTTTTGTAACAAACATTTGACTCACATTTCACTGAATAACCCCCACAGCTTGAGTCACTAGCATCTGAAAATACCAATTGCCTTTTTCTTGGAGACTGAGATAACCTTGCCATTCAGTCGACTCAAATTTTGAACCCAAAATTTTAATTCTGTCTCTGCATTTTTAGACAACTCAATATAGCAGTCCCAACTTTTATCCTCATTGATATCTACAGATAAACATCTTGTCATCAATCTGGCAACATTTCCTATAGCTGTTATCATGGATATAATCTTACCAACTACTGCTGCTAGTCTTCTAGCTGTCACCTTCACCTTCTTGTTCAAAATCTCAATCATCATGCTCTCAATATCTTGTATCTTTGCTTTTGGCATCGAAATTTCAAATGTCTCCAATTTTATTTCAAATCCTAGCCAAATAACTGAATTTTGAGGATACCATTTTGACTTTTCAACATTTTCTACAAAACCTGCCATTGCCAATGTTTTCCTGACAAAATTTGCTTGTAAAATTGCTTTCTCTTTTTGATCACTGACTAATATGCCGTCGTCCAAATAGAGAACGATACAAACGTTGTTCTACCTCCAAAATTTGACCAATGCTCGAAGAACTTTTGAGAACACCAAACCTCCCGTGCGCAGACCAAAAGGTAGGACAGTGAATGTAAAGTACCTAACCCCATTTTTAAACTTCCAACTGAAGCCCAGATATTTATGTTGGGATTCCCTGATGTTCAAATGATGATAATCGCTTTTGATATCCAAGACAGACATTAATCCATCTTTTTGTAAATATGGTATCATGTCATTTATGTTTTTGTATTTCATATGATTCAAAATCACATGTTCATTGACATGCCTCAGATCTAAAACAAGTCTTTTCTTACCTTTGGCATTCTCTGAAACAGTTAAAGGATTCACAATGTATGGGGGAGTTTCATGCTCTGTAACATACCCACCAGCTAACAAGTCTTCTATGGCCTCCTCTACGAATGTACCATTCTCTATTGCAGACCTATTATTTCTTAAAAGGTTTGATCAGGTTCATGTTTTAAAGGTTTGACATAACCATTTTCAACAGTATCATTTGCTCCAATTTTATGCCAAAATTTACTATGCTTTTTTTAAACTATCTTTAAAAGTTACAAAATCTTCAGATATACTCATCTTTTTGGTCTTTGATGTGTCTTTAGTCTGTTGTCTTCTTGTTTCTGGCACTCGGCTGCAAAATGTCCGACGATCCCGCAGTTGTAACAAGGCCCTCTCTTCTTGTTCGGCTACTGGTGAGCTCCTTTGTTAGTGTCGTTTCTCCCATCATTGTTTTTTCGGTCATCTTGACTTGCTCCAAACTGTCGACAGCTTGGTCCAATTGACCGCTTGTTATGCCAGCGAGTGCATCTTGCATTTTCTCGTCGATTTTTTTTGTTGACTGTGTATTGCTGTTTGTGCCCGTTTCTCTTCCAAACGATATCCTTTTCCTTTGAGCTTGTCGGTAATTTTCTCTTTAGAGTGTTTATTTCCTGTTCCATTTTACTCTCCATTTGTTGGAATTTGTATTCCAAGAAATCTTTTAGTTCTTGCGCCTGCATGGCTGGTAATCTTTGTCAACGTAACGTTGTTATACTCTGTACCGTCCGTTTATCTTGCCGCTTAGAGCCCAAGTGATCTTATTCACTAATACATACACTGTTCACTCAGTAATACTCTATTTACAATTACCGTTCTATTTTCATAACGTTAAACGACCAAATAGAAATCATTTTCTTGCTAATTCGTACTACGTGACTCAAACGCAATAAAATACATTTAATTTATGGGATCATTATATCAAGTTTTTAGTGCTTTAGTGTGAACACATACATATAAATACAACTTTTGACAAAGTAGCAGCTACAAAATCCAACAAGATTTTTTACATTGAGAACTAAAGGACACATTTGAGAGGGGTCAAATTGAGAAGATTGTGAGATATAAATACTGTTTCCATGGTAACCAAAGTCAGAGATTGAAAATATATGGCACTGACAGGCGCTAAATCGAAAAGTTGTTGTTGCAAACTACCACGAAGGCTTAAGCAAAGTAGAAATATACATTAGTCCCACATTCGCACGCATTCCGATCTCAAGTACTGTTTATGAAAGGCTCTCGACATGTATAATTAGGGTGACATGATATCATAATACTTTCTAGAATTATAATTACCTGCAAAAAAGGGTTCTTTCAATAATTCCTCTGCCGTTGGTCGTTCTGATACTGTTTTTCCAAATGCCATTTGAATGATACTCTTTGCATGAGAAGATGTTCCCGTGGGCAATTTATATTCTGGAGTTGCATTTTCTTTTACGATATGTGGTATGACGAGGACTCCAGATTTATCGTTCCATGGAGGCGTTCGTGTCAGCATTTCAACCATTGTGCAGCCAAAACTCCTGTAAATAATAGAGACATCAAATCAACTTGTTCAGGACACAATTTCTTTCTTTTCTCAACGTGAATTTTCAATGTATTGTGATTTATTTCAGTTTGCTTTAATTTCAGTTTAGATGGCTCCCTTTTAATTGTTACATCAACACAGTGACACCCTCTCCAGGTGATCCATTCGGTGGTAGGCCTAATGGGTTTGTTGACATTACACTTGAATAGAAAGCCCCGTTTACACTGACCAATCTTTTTCACTTTTTTAGTTTCAAACTTGGTTGGCATTCGGGGGTCAGCAATCGGTGTTTGTAACATATGGCAGATTGTGACAATTTGCATGTCCATGCCTTGTTAATGGATGAGGACGAGGCGAATGGGATAAAGGCGTATTAAAATTATATATTTACACATAATGATGCACTTTTTTATATTGCCCATGGGTGTTAAAGTTATCAAGGTTTTCACGGTGATAGCTGACAAGGCTAAATATGAAATCGACAAATAGAGCCATAGTCTTAGTGAAATGGAGTGAAATAAAAATGAGCAGTCGGATATTGAGTTCTCTTTAGCATAATTTCTATCAGAGAACTCCACGGGAAACTAGTGAGTCTGTCAGGATTAATGAACTCCCTTTTGGAAAATAACATTTTCTTTGAGTTGTCTTGGGGAAGAGTTGTCTTGGAATGAGTTGACTTGGGATAAGATGTCTTGGGATCAGTACCGGAATACAATGCCTTTCTCGATGAACAAATACATTGTGAAATTAAAAAAGGATCTTTGCAAATATGTTTGCAAAGATTTGGAAATATTTTCGTTATTGACAGTATTTTTCATTTCCGTGTTTTGTGGGCTTCTTTTGTTTCTGAATTCCAGGTTTTTCTCCCTACATGTAGAATTACTAAGAAACGTCGCAGTCACACTAGCCGTGTAGGCTCACCGTTCGCCACCATTTGGCTAAATACGGCCAGGCGGCGATGCCCGGCATGGTCCCATGGTGAGTTGTTTCCCGCCCGTTGAAAACGTCCAGAGAACGTTGCTTGAAATCCACATGGTACGGTGATAGCGGTGCGGCAGTGGTATAAGCCCCCCTCACATATGAACGAAAACCCCTTTATGTCAACTTGCGTATAGTGGCGAATTGGAAATTAGTCAAATTCGTTCTCATTAGTACGAGTTCGTGACAGTACGTCGCAGTGTTCGTATAGATGCGTTTGTCAGCGTTTACCTCGGTTGAAATTAGTCTTTTTCGTCGAAAAATTTTGAACATGTTCAAAAAATTGCAGCGAATAAAAGTTTTGTGTGTCATTCGTTGAAATTCGTTTCAATGCGTTAACGATCGGTTAACCTTTGCATTTGCTTCATCAAGTGATGTTACAGGTTGCTGGAGATAAGGTCGTATCCCCATAATTTGCATATCAAGCGACTGACGACGATCCCATTACGAACCATTACGAACCATTGCGGCAGTTTGCAACCTTGTACGCAGTGGAACGAATACTTACGAATTGGATCTACGTTAAGCTGAATAATTGAGAGAATACAAGATTAAATCAAATAATTCTTTTGTCATGGAAGACACAGATCGACTGAGGCTGCAGTATGTGGCTGCTATGTCCCAGCAAGAAGTTTTAACGCAGCAATTTAACATTCATGAGTTCATCAGAGGCCGTTTTAGGCGGAGAAGGGGAGCCAGAGGACGTGGCATCTGGAGGAGACAATGGTTGAATCCAGAGAGACGGCGCCAATTCGGCATATATGATCAGCTCATTGTGGAGCTGAGAAGAGAGGACCCCAGAACATTCAAAAAGTTCCTCTGTATGCCAACAGAAATGTATGACGAAATCTTTGAGAGGGTCCGTCCTCGGCTATGGAAACAACAATAGCTGGTACAGAGAGCCTTTAGGTCCAGGCCTCAAACTAGCTGCCACTATTCGCCACCTGGTTTCTGGTGCCAAGTACTCTGACATGCAGTACTCCTGGCGGGTTGCTGAGAATACCCTCTCTGTAGTGCTAAGAGAAGTCTGTCAAGCTATATGTATGAATATGTTGATGAGGTCATGGCAGCCCCCTCCACATCTGAAGAATGGAAACAATTGGCTGATGGTTTCCTCGAGAAGTGGAACTTTCCAAATTGCGTTGCTGCAATTGATGGCAAACACATAGCTATCAGAAAGCCTAATAGCTCTGGTTCCTTATATTATAATTATAAGGGTTTCTACAGCATCATCTTACTGGGAATTGTCGACTCAGACTACAAGTTCGTGTGGTGTGATCTGGGTGGTGAGTAAACTCTACATACGTTACTGCATTAATTTTGTAATTATATAGATTTAATACAATTATAGCTATATTTGCAATGTATACTGACAATATTTTATCCTCTTACTCTTGTATAATTTCAGGATATGGTTCAAGTGGAGATGGCAGGATCTATAATGCATCGGAATTCTTGGAGATGGTGCAGGATGGTTCGATCGCATTTCCACACCAACAGCCATTTCCCAACGACACCGTTGATATGCCTTTTTTCTTGGTAGGGGATGATGCATTCAGCCTCAGTGATCACATGCAGAAGCCCTATGGACATAGAACCCTCACTAGAGAGGAAAGAATTCTAAACTACCGGGTATCGAGGGCTAGGAGGGTTTCAGAAAACGCCTTTGGAATTTTGGCCAACCGATTCCAGGTACATTGTAATTTATAATATTTGTCGGCGAAACAAACAGTTAAACTCCAAGTTCCTGTGACTATCTAGATACGTTTATTCGACTTCGAGTAAATGAGACTTCATTTGAACTTCCGCTAATTGAGACTTGAAAATAGTATGTTTTGTTTGATAAATAATTTGAAAGATGCGCATAAATTGGAACCAACTGAGTTCCACATTCGACCTATAACAGTTTAACTATTAATCCGTATTTTCAATTTAATTCAATTTAACGCATAATAACATTTCAGGTACTCCTCTCAACGATGAACCATAAGCCATCCACAGCGAGGCTGATAGTCAAGACATGCTGCATTCTCCACAACTTGATGAGAATGAGGTACCTTACAATGCAAAATGCACTGATTGACCAAGAGGACAGAAGAGGCGACATGGTTCCTGGGGAATGGAGGAGAGATCGCAACTTGGAAGATGTCAGGGCTGTCAATATCAGAGGCCACAACACAGCAAACAAAAAGGGGAAATAAGAAATGAATGAGAAATACTCTGAAGCACTGGGTGAACTCTCCAGCAGGAAGTGTACCATGGCAAGACAGGATCGTGCCAAATTAAAGGTTGGACTTTGAGAAATAATTTAAAGCACTGTGTCAATTTGAAATTAAGTGTAATTTGCCTAACATAAATTGTAAAAACTAGTTTAAACGTATTTTTGTTTTACGAGTCTAATAATAAGAAATGTATTGATATAATATCAAAGGGAAAATACCAAACATGATCAGAAAACACAAGAGAAACAAAATCTTTAAGCGAATATTGTCATTAAAAACAAACCCCAACTATCCCAAATGAAATTCAAGCGTCAAAAGAAACAGTGTCCAACACCCCTCCCCTTCCATTCTAATATCAAATATTACGACCCAAAACCATAAAACATAGGGATATTTCATTCAAACTGAGGTAATTACAATAATTGCTTGGCATGGTAACCAATTGTACGTGTTAATAACATTCGCAATGATCACTGTATGAATTTCAAATCTGTGTTGACTACGACCTCTTAATTAAGGTAGACTATGTTAGAAATGTCAGAAGAGCCATATTAAATACAGGGTGACACCAACAAATGCCACCCACTTATTTCAGAATGACTTTCTTTTATGTGTAGATAGAGTGTTCAATGGAAGAAAGATTGATATGCTTGCATTGCATCAATTACTAAGAATAAAGAGATATCACATTTTCCGCGGAGGCATGCTCTGACACAAAATCGTTCGAAAATGTAATTTAGAAATCTTTCTTTTTTAAATTTACTTAAAAAGTGAGTCAGTTCCTCAAATATAGCACAAATTATGAAGGAAAATGGGTAGATATGACATTTAAATGATAAAATATGTGAAAGCAATACAGAAATGACACAAATAATGGCTAAGAAAGAAATCTCAATTTCAGAAAATTGTATTTGATGCAATTCAAGTACATCAATCTTTGATAAAAAATTACGAAGATTCCGTCGTTATTGACAAAGTTATTCCAGAATAATTGGGTGGCATTTTTTGTGTCACCCTGTATATTGGCACGGCAACAGAACATATTGCCAAAAATCTGCTTGAACT